AGCTTTGTGTGAATGCCTGGGATCTTACAAAGCAAGAGCATGGATTTCAAAGGCCTAGAGGGGTTTCCTTCCCTTGGTGGGGGGCGGGGTGGGCTCTCCTCTCTGTGACATCTCATTGTAATGCTGCGCTTGACATTTCCACACAGGCCTGTGGGGAACAAACAGATAAACCAACACAAAGTGATTTTCCTTGCAGCCACCTGCTGCTAAGTGACTGCTCTACCTGCCTCTACAGTCATCTGATGGACAGATGGGCCTGGGAGTGATGGAGATGGCATTGTTATGGTCACTTGATAGTTGAGGCACATGGATAACAGGCACACAGTGCACCCTGGCATTTAGGAAATTGTGTGGAGCAAAACCATCATCATCATATTTATTTTAAAGAAAATGATGGGTTTTGTTTTTTTCTGTTAAACTTGCTTGGATATTTGAAGGTGCTCATAGAATTCTGTTTGTGGGAATTTGGGAAAGACATTATATTGATGTGTGCAGTGGAGAATTAAGACAAATGATAATTGAAAGAGATGATAAAAGCGAGTGGTTTCTATGGGGAAATAATCACGACCTGCTGTCAGATTGATTCCAATAAGAGCACTGCTTTATGTGAGATGTTTTTTAAACAGCTAAACCAAAGCAGTAAGCCAGAGCACTATCACTGTCTGTGTGTTTCGATTAACCCTCTGTCTGAGATTCCCCGATTTAGGTTAGCCACTAGTGCAGCTGTGTTTAGCTTCTGTGTGGTCAACACTTAGCTGGAAATGATGAGTATCGGATTGCAGAAAGATAATCCTGTGTTTAACCTGAGGGATTCCCAATTACTGATTTGTGAAGTTGCTTCAGTGTGCTAGCCTGGATTCGCTACTGCATTTTTGTGCCCCTATTGTACACCATGGAGAATGCCATGGGAGACCCTAAAAGCATTCCTTGCATTTGTTGCTTGACCCAGATGTGCCCTGTATTAGGTGGACACCCAGAGCCTGGCATGAGGCACAAGTGCCCACAGGATGACTGAGTAAAGGAACGAAGGGCTCTTGGGTTAGATCTTGCGTCTATGTCACCTCCACTCCACTCCACCAGCTTGGACCCCCATGGGGGAAAGTGGGGCTCACTGCAAGGGCCAGGTTCAGTGTCCTTCTCTGTGGATTTGGCTAATAGGAGGCAGGAGATTGGTGAATGGGGCAGACAAGGTGGTATCTGTAATAGGATTGGCTATGTTCTTCTCTCAGAGACCCTCTCCATACCATTTTCCCAGGTGTCTCTGTTGCTCCCAAATAAGCATTAAGAGTTTATTTTTTCCATTTTTAATTTAATTTAATTTAATTTACAAACAAGATTGTTTTACATGTCAATCCCAGTTCCTTCTTCCTCCCCTCCTCCCTTGCCCCCCACTAACACAGTACCTATCCCATACCCTTTCTGCTCCCCAGGGAGGGTGAGGCCTTCCATGGGGGGGTTCTTTGGAGTCTGTCATATCCTTTGGGATAGGGCCTAGGCCCTCTCCCATGTGACTAAGCTGAGAGAGTATCCCTCAATGTTGAATGGGCTCCCAAAGTCCATTCCTATGCTAGGGATAAGTAGTGATACAAGAAGCCCCATAGATTTCTGAGGCCTCCTCACTGACACCCACATTCGTGATGCTTGGCAGATAGCTTAGGCTTGTCTCCAACCAGCTTCTTTTTAATTTTTTATATATTTGAATTACAAACAAGATTGAATTACATGACAATCCCGGTTCCCTTCTTCCTCCCTTCCTCCTCTACCACCCCCCCAACTAAAATCTTACCTGTCATATGTCCTTTCTTCTAATCTACACCTGACTCAGAATTTCTGCTTCCTCATGACATCTGCATCCTTCCTTTTCTTCCCTTCTCACTCTCGTAGCTTCCTCCCCCCTCTTCCCATGCTCTCAATTTGCTCAGGGGATGGTGACCCTTTCCCCTTCTCCAGGGGACAAAGTTTGTCTCTTTTAGGGTCTTCCTTGTTTACTAGTATCTCTGGCGGTGTGGATTGTAGGCTGGTAATCCCTTACTCTATGTCTAAAATCCACATATGAGTGAGTACATTTCATGTTTGTCTTTTTGTGACTGGGTTACCTGGCTCAGAATGGTTTCTTTGAGTTCCATCCATTTTCCTGCAAATTTCAAGATTCCATTTTTTTTTCTGCTGAGTAGTTCTCCATTGTGTAAATGTACCACATTTTCTCTATCCATTCTTCGGTTGAGGGGCATCTAGGCTGCTTCCAGCCAGCCAGCCTTTTCAACTTAAATTAACACATTTCTATTAATCTATGTGATATCCCAAGACTCATTTCCCTCTTCTATGAACTTCCCATGTGGCTTCCTCTAAATCTGGCCTGAGACTCCTCAGACTCCACCCTTTTTCTTCCCAGCATTCTCTCTGCCCTGAAAATCCTGCCTAGCTATTGGCCAATCAGCTTCTTGTTAACAATGAGAGCAACACATATTTACAGTGGACAAAGGTTGTTCCACAGTACAGCAGTCATAGGTGCCACACTGTTCCTCCTGGCATCCTTAAGTCCTGCCCACACCTCTATAAACTAGTCTCCTGTGAAATTCTCTTCAGTCCATCAGTGTGAAGGTTTCCAGTGTCCTGCTGAGACCCTGTCTGATATTTGCCCAAGCCACCTAGTTGACAAAGTTGGTGAATGTTTGTCTTTCTTGCATTATTGCGAGCGAATGCTCTAGAAGAGACCCGTGAAAGTGCTCTGTCCCCTCCATTCAGTAAAGACTGTGACCAGGCAACATTTATGCTTTCCTGGTCCATGCTGGTTCTTGGTAAATATTGATTGGCTAACTGGTTATCAACATCTAATAAGAGAAGAAGAAAATCAATGAGGGGCAGAAGGTGGGTTAGCTAGTATTCCTTGATGCTCTCTGCTCCGCTTTCACAGGATAACAACAGCTATGAGACAGGGCTGTCCTCAGCAAAGGCACCTCGCAGAGCAGACTGGCTACATTTTCCCCCAAGACAGAGTTTTGCTCCAGAGCTGTCTTAGTTTCTTTCCTGTTGCTTTGATAAGATAGCCCACCAAAAGCAGTTTAAGGGTCTATTTTGACTCTCAGCTGGAGATTAGAGTCCATTATGGCAGGAAAGTCACAGCAGCAGGGGATGGAAGCAGCAGGTCACATGGTGTCCATAGTGAAGAAGCAGTGAGTGCTTGTGTTCAGTTCACTTTCTTCTTTTTATGCGCTCTGTGATCCCAGCCTTGGGAATAGTGTTACACAGTGAGCAGGCCCTCCCATCTCATTCAGTCTACTCAAGATAGCCACCCACAGGTACTCCCAGAAGCCCATCAGCTATATAGTTCTAGATCTCGGCCCACAGATATGCCCTGAAGTCCATCAACTGTAGTTCTAGATCTCATCAAGTTGACAATTGGAATTAACCATCATGGTAGTCTGGGATGGCTTTGAACTTGCTTTCCTCCTGCCTCAGCATGGGCCAGTATTGGGATTACAGATGTATGCTACCATGCCTTATTGACTGGATACATAATTTGTGAGGACTCATGTTCAAAAATCATGAAGAATTTCAGGACAAAGCCAACAGGGTGATAAGCTAAGCAAGACCCTACTAAGCCTTTGTAGGCTGAAGTCCCTTGAATGGATCCCTGAGCAAGAGGCAGCCAATAGGATTTCAGAGCAGCTAGTTCAGTCTTGAGCAACTTTATGATCTTCAGGATGTGATGGACTGTTGGGAGCTTCTGAGCCTGTGGGCTATGCAATGATAGGCATTTAATACTGCCCAACCCTGGTCAATATTTCATCAAAGTGTTTGCATGTACCTCAGATCCTTACTCAGAAGAATGCTCTTCTAAACCCAAGAAACCTGCTTCACACTGACTACCCCACTTGTCTTGCACCTCCCCGTTTTCAGTTTAATCTAGAGTCCCCTAAGCCCATCTAAGGGAAGACAATCGCATTGGTGTTCATGTGTCTTGTGACTGCTTCACTTGGTTGGGATGGTGGTAGTGATAGCTCTTGCCACAATCCACGCCTGGAGAATAATGTATGTACAAGATGGCTTCTTTTCTGGTCCCAGAGCCTTCCTGTGACCCCCTCCTCACCATACATTGAGCTTGGAGCCCACCTGATTACCTTGTAGGAGCTCCTATGCTATGACCCTTGGAGTCTCCTTGAAGCTAGTCATTCGTCATGCCAGCCCCTGGAGTGTCTCCTGCCCTCCATTGCTCTTTTGTCCTATAGGCTGGGTCCTTGTCTCCCTTTGGAATCACTGGATCTCTTGGAGGTCTCCAAATGTTGACACTCCAGGAGAGGAGCTATGAGTTCCAGCAAAGACTTCTGATGGGAACGTCCTTTGTCCCACAGTTATTCCCATTTGTGCTTCTCCCAGCCCATTGCTTTCTCCACTAGCCTTTCCGCTGCCCACCCTTGCTGTAAATGAGGCTCACTCAGGTTCACCACTAACCATCTAGTAGTGGAAGTACCCCAGGCTCTCTGCTGATAGGTGTAGACTGTCTGCCAGTACAGAAAGTCACTCCTCACAGCTCAGCATCCTTGACCCCATCCATGAGGTCGAGAGTAGATGTTATTGTCCATCTCTCCCCGCACTAAGGAAGATGACCAAGTGCCTGTGTGTTTCTTCTCCACAAAGTTAGCGCTTCAGCTTTCTGGTGCTGTGAACCCAAGAACTGCCCTTTAGGGAGCAGATTCTTAAAAGTTCTAACCTTAGAAAACAATAAGAGCTAAGGACCCTTCTCCTCTCAATGTCAAGAGATATCATGTGTATCCAGCTACAGTTAAGGCACTATTAAATGGAGTCAGGTGGAGTTTGTCTAGGACCAGACAGTCCCCAGGGGTCATTGTCACCAGCTTCTTAACTACAATGCTTAGGTGGCCTTAAATGACAGTAGCTCTGTGTACACATGCTAGTAGCTTTGGCCCAATCTGATATTCTTTCTTCCCTGCCCAGATGCTCAATCTTTGCACACTGACTGTGTTCTCTTTCCCTCACAGGGTCCCCGGTGGCATATAGAGCTCCAGCCTTGGGCAGGCCCTGCTCAGTCCCTGGATGAAGAGGCCTTAAGGTTCCTGAGCTACATTAGCACCACTCAGGTTGTGTTTCAAGCCGCAATGGGTTTGGGAATAGTGGCAAAGGTTCTGAAAAACCACTGTAAGCAGTTTGCCCTCTAGAGCGGGAGGTTGTGAAGATTCCCTGATAGGAACAGGGTAGGGACCCCGGTTCTGAAGTGCTACTATTTAATTTCCCGCACTCTGTGGAGGCAGAGAACATGGCTTCCGTTTGCTTGTCATCTTCCTTCCAGGACTCTCATTAACCTGGAATGTTCTAATGATTCATCCCCAAGTGTTTTAAAGAGTCACTTTAGAAAATTGCTTAGGAAAGCCATTTGAAGAGACAGATTTGTCCCTGTGAGTAGGCAGTCAAGTGTGTCACAAAACAGAGCCGTCATCTGGAGGTTCAGCTCCTTTCCTGTTTGGAAGCATTCGCCTGTGTGCTTCCCAGCCACGGGCACTTGGCAGCCAGGCCATGATGGGTGAGGAAGCCAGGGACTCTGAGGGGCACTTCGAGAAGCTAATGACACCAGTGCTCACCTCCCTCTCGTTGGAGTGCCCTAAGTCATTACTGAGCATGGCCTTTATTAGTGGCATAACACACAGTGGCAGCTTCTGGTTAGCTCCAGGGGTGAGGTGGAGTCAGGTTCTGAGAAGGCAAGAGAGCTTTCATTAAAGAGACCCCAAGGCTCTTGACTCATTAATCAGAAGGTTCATTCTCATGTTGTCTGATCCGAGGGAAAACACAGACCTAAGAGGAGATGGAAGCCTGAGGGATGCTAGCCCTGGACTGACAGGTGGCAAAAGGCAGGACTTTTTGAGCCTGGGAACTGAGCACAGATCACAATAGGACGCTCCCTGGGTGGGAGTGGCCTGGAGAGGGAGGTCTTGGATACTTATATCCTTAAGTCCACTGGCCCTTGGCAATGTACTGAGACTCTTTGGCAGCAAAGCCCATTACAAAGGATGGAAAAGAATATAGTCTAGTTTTCCCTCCCTTCCTTTGAGAGAGCCTCTTGCTATGAAGCCCAGGCTAGCCTCGAACTCCTCCTGAATGTTGAGATCACAGGTGTATGCCATTGTGCCTGGCTCATTTCCTGAGCTGTAGGGAGACTAGTTCAGGTTAAAAATCTTATTTCTGACATGATGCAGTCAGACAGTCATAGGAATTTTAGTACTTGCCATCCAAATATAGAAATAAAAGCCTGTAGAATTAATTGTAGTTGGAAGAATGATAAACCAGTCCCTGTGCTTCACAGAAATTTATTTTATTTGGTTGCTTCAAATTAATTGGGTGGACTTATCCAGGCTTAATTAAAATACTGGAATTTTAATTTTGCAATTTGGCTTTACATGAGGCATAGGAGACCAGATCTCTTAATTATAACTTAAAAATGCTCTTAATGGCCTGGAGAAAAATTAGAGGTATTTAATATATGAACAATTTGAAAATGATGAGCTCCATCCAACAAAATTAATTTGTTGACTGCAAGCCTCCAAATTCCATCTTACATGTATTTTTAAAAAGATTTTATTTATTTATTATGTATACAACATTCTGCTTCCATGTGTATCTGCACACCAGAAGAGGGCTCTAGATCTCATAATGGATGGAAGTGAGCCACCATGTGGTGCTGGGAATTGAACTCAGGACCTCTGGAAGAGCAGTGGCTGCTCTTAACCTCTGAGCCATCTCTCCAGCCCCATCTTACATGTATTTTAGGTTAGCGTTTTATAATGTATATAAAGGGGTCTTTACTTAAAAGAAGCATTGGGGCATTTAGTTGTCATTTCAGATGACTCTTGTGTTTTTCTCATGAACCGTGGTCTGAGAGGGAAAAAGTCTAGCGAAAGAAAAAGGAAGCATGTTCTGATGCCCTGTGGCTAACACTGGAACCTGGACAGTTGATTTTGCTTCTATGGTTGTTACCATTCTGATCCTGAAAGGCTTGAGGTTAGACCAAATGCCTCTAAGATCTCCCCTGTGGCTGAGCACTGTACAGAAAGTAGGTTAGGGCTGTTATTCGCCAGGTATTTCTGAGCACCAATATGGCCAGGGAATTTGGAAGGCATTGGGCTTAGTCTTGGCCTCAAGGAGCCCAGGAATGAGTGGCCATGTAATTATTGACAGAGTGAGAAGTGCCATAATGGAGACCTGGTGTTTGAAGCTGTAGGAGAAAGACTCTTTCCACCAGTGTGATGTGGACTCTGCATCTGGATCCAGGATCCTAACTAACACAAGAGTTAAGAGCAAGGCAGACAACATTTCTGCTAAACTTCCCAGGAGTCTTCATAAGACAGCGACATCCTAAGGAATGGCCACAGCATGATGCTGTTATACCTTTTAGATGAAGAAAAATGAACTTGTGAGGGAACGATAGGACAAATGGACCTCTAAACTCTGGCAGTAAATTCTAGGGTTGGTGCCAGGAGATCTGTGATGGGGACCCTGGCAGCAGGGACAGAGCAGCGTCCCACTAGTCTTACGAACTAGTGGATAATGAGGATGACTTTGAAGTCTGTTTATTCTGTCTTATTGCAATGGAATCAAGGCTATTTCGAAGCCTCAGTATGGAAAGGCCACCCCACCCAAAAGAATCTGTATAGCTTGTTACATATAGGAAAAGTCGGGCCAATGGCTGTCTCTGAAGCTACAGTCCCCAAGTGACAGTGGCTTGAAGTAATGATTGTACCAGTTTGGAATGTTTTGAAGTGATGTGTCCTGAGTTCCTTCCAGACTCAGTGGGAGGCTTTTTGTGCTCCAGAAAATGTGACAGATTGCAGACCTCACAATGGTTTTGTAATCAGGGGACATTTATCTGGTGAATCGCTGTGCTCTGATGGCTTCCAGGTGGGAGCCATCATGGATGACACCTACTCTTCATCAGACCCTTTCTCCAACCTTGGCTCCCATTCCTCTCTGTGCAACAAGGAGCTTTGGGGATGCTTTTGTGACTTATGCCTCATTTAGAAATCATCTAACAATGGAAGCCTGCAAAACTTGCAGAATATTAAAGTCACCGCTACCTAAAATTTTCAGTTAGCAGCAGTGAGTTGTTAAGTGAATTCCACCCCCATCCTCTTATGCTGCTTAAAAAAAAAAAAAAAAAAAAAAAAAAAAAAAAAAAAAAAACCTCAAATCTATGTTCAAACTCATACAGTAGGGCATAGCGTTTGATAAGCTCATGGCTGAGGTTCTCATGTATCATTACAAAGGCCTTTGTTGATCAAATGCTCAGGGGCTGGCAGGATTTGGCCTCTGGGATCTTAAGCCTTAAAAAAAGGCCTCTCTCTCATGGTAAGTAGGACATGAGAGGCATCTAACTGAGAGCAGGCATGTGGGTGGGATTACACAGCTATGGGTGTGGTACCCCCTGCTTAGTGATTAGGACCCTGAGTTTGTTTGTTTGTTTATTTATTTATTTATTTATTTATTTATTTATTTATTTTGTGAAACACCAGAGGATATGGTATTTGACCAGAGTATGCAGAGTCAGGTCCAGTTTAATTAGCAATATTGTTTGTCTTAATATGGGAGGCCCTAATGATACCACAGAGTTCTGAAGCCAGTGAGCTGCTAGAGTGAGCTGCTAACAGGAAATGGTTAACGCAGAAGTGCTTGCCTGTGCTGATGGAAGGCTTCAGAGCCAGCTCTTCATGGCGGCCCCCATACCATATGCTCCTAGAAGCAAAAGCCTCCCAGTAAGGAGTTCACGTTAGCAGCCATGGCTGTTCTAAATAAGAAAAAAATGTTTTGAATTCTATTTTTCTATTACTGCCCATCTACAATCTGTTATTTGTCAAATTATCTACACATCTACTTGTAAAATACCCAAGAAGTTAGGCCCTAGAGACCTGGAGACACAGATTAGAATTTTGCAACATTGTATCAATAGCATGTATTATATTTGTGTTCTCTCTTCTCCTCTCACAAACATGCTCCAGACCACACACACACACACACACACACACACACACACACACACACACACAGGCGCGGGAGAGAACAAAACATTCAGTCCTGCCTTTAAGCTTTTCAAAATAATGTAACCATATAAATATACATTTAAGTTTTAAGGGATTCTTGCCAAAACTCCCCAAAGTCTAAGGACTCCTGACGCATTCTACTCATGGGTTGGTAGAGCTGCTGTTTAAGCTTTTGGTATGCAAAGCAAAATGGAAATGAGTTAGATCCCTTTAAACTAACTAAATAAAAAAAATTCACAAAACATTTTTTTTTCCTGGAGTCTACTTGCCTTTGTCCAAACGTAATTTACTTTATATGGCTAAAATTACAAGGGGAATTAGGCAGACAGAGGGTATAATTACTTCAGCTGGAGCTTAGCTTGGAGTTGCTGTCCTTGCTTATTTTGCTTGTAAGAGAGTTTATTGAAACCTTGGCTATAAATCTTAACCAGAAAGTTTGAAAAAAATCAATATTTAATTAATTTTTAAGAGCAGAATTTTATGGACAACTTCTAGTTATGTTCCCCCCACCCCACCCCCCAAAGAAACCCCTGAATGTCTGTCAATCAGATGGTTAATAAATGGTTAAAATTGAATAATTCCTGGGCTGTATTTTTTAGCTAAGAGAGGAAGAAGAGTTTGAAAAATAGTGTCTCTCTGATAGGAGAATATCTGTGCAAGATGAAATCTCAGAATAAAAAAAATTGTAATTAGATAAAGTTCGATCATAATAGAGAAGACCCTAGACCATGGCTACGGCTCAGGACAGTAACCCTAGACAGTAATCCTGACTTGGGGCCTTCCTTTGTGAGGCCTCTGGTTAACTGTTCTTTGTGAGGGGTCTAAGTGGATGCTGTTTCCAGTTGAAAGCAATGGCCCTGGTCCAGTCACTTACTTTCCTTCACTTTCTAAGGTACAGGTAAGAAGTCAAGGTCAGGTCATTTTGGGGGGGAGTTTATAAAATGCCAAACTCTCCAATAAGCTAGAAGAACCACCTGCCTAAGGGCCCCTGCAGATCTTGTTAGACTACATCTTCCCTGGAATCATGACAACTGTGTATTTAGTGGAACCCAGAATCTGCCCCTCCTTTTTCTGGAATAGTTTCTCTTTTTATTTTATTTATTCCCACCCCACCCCCATCTGCTCCTCAGGGCCGGGTAAGGGGAGTAAATGAAATCACCACATTAAGGCAGGGACAAGGCCCTCCCCTGTAACAATAAGCCTTTCCACCAAGCTGCCCACATCCTGCTGCCGCGTGGGCTCTTTCCAACAGACCGCCCAAGTTCCACCTGCGGTCATGTTAAGGTCCCAAGTAATACACAGAGACTTACATTAGGTACAAATGCTGCTTGGCCAATGACTAGGATTTCTCATCTGCTAGCTCAGTCTTAATTATCATAAATCTATATATTTTATAAGACTTATCTTATCGGATGCCAGCGGCAGTCGTCCTGTCGTCCCCGGGCTCACATGGTGACTCTGTGCTTTCTCCTACCTTTCCCAGAATCCCCCTTGTCTCCTAGTCCCTCCTATCTTGTTTTCCTATTGGCCAACAGTACTTTATCAACCAATAAGACAATCATAGACACAGAAGGACCGCCCCCATCACTCCCCTCTATATCTAGGCTGAACAAGGCATCTCTCCAAAGAGAATGGGCTCCAAAAAGCCAGTTCAAGTACTAGGGATAAATCCTGGTCCCACTGCCAGTGGCCCCAGAGACTGCTCAAGCCACACAACTGTCACCCACATTCAGAGAGCCTAGTTTGGTCCTATGTAGGTAGAACCTAACTTTTATAGCAAACCAGTCTCTAGGTGATTCTGAAGCAGGGGGATGACACCTTAAGCAACACCGTGGAAGAGGCCAGCGTGGAGTTTTGATGCCACTAGAAAAGCAATAGGAACATAGCCCGTGTGTCATCATGGAAGGTCTTAGGGAGAACTGTCTACAAGTGTCCAATCTTCAGAGCAGGGCACTGCCCTGGAGCAAAAGGCTCAGGCGTAGGCAGCCCAGGGCCCACAGAAGTGCCTCGGTCTCACCAGCCTCCAAGAGGAGGTACAGAGCAGAAGTGCTGAGCTCCCCAGGTTCAAGACACAGCAAGTTTCCCATTAGTAGATCAGCTCTGGCCAATTAGATTGGCATCGCCCTTGCCCTTGGGTGGGTGAGGAAGAGGAGATGGGCAGACAGGCAAAATTTCCATTTCTCTCTGGACAAACAGTAGAAGATGAGTTATACAAGCTAGCATGCTGATGCTAACACTTGGTTAATTCTTGTGTTCATAGTCGTTGCTTCAGGGAGGATCCAATTCCATTTCCAGTGACTAATTTCCCCTTTAGGCAATGGTTAGAGACAGACCCTGGGTGGAAAGGAAAGAAAAGTGAATGCTGTCTCGTGCTTTTCTTGTAGCTTTTTTGAGACTAGACGGTGTGCAAGCTGGCCTCAAATTCCTTATGTAGCTAAGGAAGCCTCGAACTCTTGATGTTCCTTTCGCCACCTCCTCAGGGCTGGAATTCCAAACAAGTACTACCCTGCCTGGCTGTTTTTACTTTAGTTCATTTATTGTGAGGCCTTGCTTTATCTTATGTGTTCAAGTGTTTGCCTGAATATATGTTTGTGTGCCATGTGCATGCAGTACCCTCAAAGATCAGAAGAGAATTCGGGGTCCTCTGGGACTGGAGTTACAGTTATGAACCATCATGTGGATGCTGGGAATTGAGCCCTGGTCCTCTGGAAGAGCAGCCACTGCTCTTAGACACCAAGCCATCACTCTAGCCCTGTTTTTAGTTTCTCTCTCTCTCTCTCTCTCTCTCTCTCTCTCTCTCTCTCTCTCTGTGTGTGTGTGTGTGTGTGTGTGTGTGTGTGTGTGTGTGTGTGCATAATTGCCTATATGTGTTCATGTGGCAGCCAGAGGTTGGCTTCAAATGCTTTCTTCCATTGCTTTCCTTCTTCTAATCTTTTTTAATTATTGAGACCGGGACTTTCATTGAACCTGGAGCTCACAATTCAGCTAGTCTGGCCATGGAGCTGGATCCACAGGATCATGAGTGCTTGAGTTACAGACAACATTGCAGTTACAAATGACCCAAGATGCTACTAAGGATTTTGCAGCAATTGCTTTACACACTGAGCCATCTTGCCAGCCCTAGAATATCTTCTTAAAAAAAAAAAATCACCTGTTGTTGTTTTCTGATGAAAAAGCATTGAACACCAGAGCTCCTTTGTATCTGCAGGAGTCTTTTGTCTCCCATGTGATGGCTTGGACAGTTTTGAGGGATGGGGAGAAGGGGGACTTTTGGTCACTCAGTAGGGCCAATGTCTGGGACTCAAACTGTTTTCTTCTATTCTATCAGCTTTGGCCGTATACAGTAGGAACCCCCAACTCAAGCCATCCTCCTTTAGGAAGTCTATTTGCTTACTGTGCGTTGGAATTAGTCTTCTTTCTGCTTAACCTCCATCTGCATTCCCTTTGGTTTTCTTATCTAATTTTGATGCATGAGTTATGAGAAGTGCTTGGGTTAGCTGGGCAGCACTTTGTGCTCCAGGGCTCTAGCCCTTCTCTCCCAGGAGGCAGCTCATTAGGAATTATCATTAGAATAATTAGCTCATTAGAGAATCTGGTCTTCTCAGCAGACACTTCACTTGTCCCAGGATCAGCTGGGACAGGATAGCACAGGTTACTTTTCTGGCCTCAGTGCCCTCCCTCCCCTTATCTGCCTGTAATAAGGTGCAGATAACCTTGTGATCGTCACACTTTTGCAGTTGCTGTAGCCACAATGCCCACATCTCAGTCAGGGCATCCTTCATAATCCCCTCCTCTGTCAACTTCCGTTCACTGCCGCCCCAACAGCCTCCCAAGTCCTCTTCCTTCCCATCCTGGTTCCCAATTTGCAATCCGGGCAGATGGCTACTGCAGCCCATTTCCTTTCAAATTCGCATTGTGTCTTCACGAGGTTACTTCTTATCCGACATGTAATTGAAATTCCTCTGAACATTTTGCAGCAGTCTTGTGGTTCCCTGGGGGAAGAGAGTAGTTAGCAGTGGAGGACATAACTCTCCCATCACTGTTTCCAGGAGCAGGGAAAGCAGTTAAGTCTCCACCTGCCATTCATCATCTAGCATTTTAAATTATTCATATTGATTTCCAATCCTTACAGATTGCATGCGATCACATGGGTACAGACAGCTTGGCTACTGACTCCAGCCCTGCAACGAAGCCTTGGCTGGTGTGTCTTGATGACAGGTTTGGCTTAGCTCATCAAATCCGCAGCAAGCAGTGCCGCCTCTACTCCTTAGGGTAAGATTTTTTTTTTTTTTTTTTTTTTTTTTTTTTTTTTTTTTTTTTATAGCAGAGGAGAACACAAACATTCCTGCAGGCAGCCAAGGCCTTTTCAGTGATGACAGGGGGTGGCGGGAGCAGTGTGTGCAGGCGATGTGATTTGTCTCTTGCCTCCACTTCAGGCTCACCTGCTGTGCAGGGCAGGTGCTGGCACATCTCTGACTGAGGTCATCTTGGCAGGAGCCACCTTTCCTTCCATTCTGCTGGTAATAAGGTAGCAGCTTCACTTTCAGCAAGAGGAGGGTCCCCTTGGAGAAACCAGAGGCTTCCAGCGTGAATTAGAGTACCCTTGTTAGAAACAGAAAAGTATCAGTGGCTGTATTGGAGGAAGAGTATGCCAGGAATACTACACTCTGATGAATGCTACTGTACAGTTATGAATGACCCAAGATAACAGCCAGTAGTGTGTGTGTGTGCGCGCGCGCGTGCGCGCGCGCGCGCGCGTGTGTGTGTGTGTGTGTGTGTGTGTGTGTGTGTGTGTGTGTGTGTATCTGTGATCAAGCTATGTGTAGCTTTGTATTTACGTAAAAAGAAAGTAAAGGAAATTCTTAGAAAAAGCATGCAATGTTTGCCAAAACACTGACTTGGTTTATACAGGTTGAAAATGACCTCGATGTACAAACAGATTTCCAGAGGGTCTATACAACGATAGACATAAAGTAACGAGACTATTTCACCAAGTGTATCAGCACTTTTGTAAACAGTCCTGAACTTACAGATGTGTCTCAGGTTTCTATCTATCACTGTGATGGAACACCATGACCAAAAGCAGCTTGGGGAGGAAAGGGCTTATTTAAACTTACAGTTCCATATCACAGTTCACCCAGAGAAGTCAGGGCAGGAGCTCAAGGCAGGAACGGAAGCAGAGGCCATGGAGGAGTGTGGCTTACAGTGCTGCCTTGGCTTGCCCAGTCTGTTTTCTTATAGAACCCAGACTACCAGGCTGGGGGTGGCCCCACCCACAATGGACGGGACCCTCCCACATCAATCACTAATTAAGAAAGTTCTCTGCAGGATTGCCTATAGCCAGCTCTTATGGAGGCATATTCTCAGTTGTAGTTCCTTCTCAGATGACTCTAGCTTGTTCCAAGTTGACACAAACAAAATACAGCTCACAAAAAAAACAGTAAAATAAAACAAGCAATAAGGACAAAATGATATATGTCTCAAAATGAAGAAGGAGAGAGTTGTTTCTGCTCAGTAGATGACAGAGTCCAAGTAGGTTCTCAGGTTAGATCACTGTAGTATTTTTTAAAGCAGTTAAGAAGACCCTGAGCAATGTCATAATGCCTGCTCCTCAACTATGGGTTTTACTTACTTCATTCCACTGTGTATATTTAGACATCTGCCAGACTCTGTGGTCATGGGTAGGGTAAGACACCTGGGTCTTGTGGAGATCTCCCCAAAGAAGCTGCTTAGGAGGGAACCACCATTGCTATCAAACAGTTACAAGTGGTTGTGGGCAGGGGTGTAACTAAGTTGGTAGAGTGTTTGCCTAGAATGCATGTGGTCCTGGCCTTGATTCTTAGAACTACAAAACCAAGGCTTTTGTACTTAGAATCCCACCACTCAGGAAGTAGAGATAGGAGAATCAGAAGTTCAAAGTCATCCTCCACTATATAATGAGGTCAAGGCCAACCTGGGATAATATGAGGTCCTGGGTCAAAAATAAAGGATTGTAAGTCATTGCAGATTTGTATAAAACAAAGAAAGAATTCAAATGGAAGTGTGAAGCTAATATATTCATAAATGGATCAAATGAGGATACACTGCAGATGTCTCCAGATGGGATTAGCATGATGGTATTAGCTATATCACAGGTTGCTTGAAAAGAGGACCCAGGTAGTGTGTTGAATGGCACTTAAGTCAGGCAGGAGCTGTGCAGCCCCCTGGTTAGAACCTAGATTTTCTAAGAAGCCCCCAGCTATGCTTTAAGACCATAGGAAGGAGGGAAGCGGCATTTATTTTATGTCACACTAAAAAGTTGTGAAAGTAGGTCAAAAAATGATTGCATAGTATAGCATGCAAATTGGCAACGTTGTCTTGATCCTATTTCCTGGTTCTACGCTTTACATTCTGCTTAACATTTTACATTCTACAATAAATTCATTTAAGAATATAACTGCATAAGATAAAACTTGGGAAGTTATTTAAAATATGTTTGGAAATTCTCCCCCTCCCCCTTATGCTTCCAAGCTGTTAGATAAGATGTTTCTGCAGCAAGATTTCAGATTATTACAGAGAAAAACATTATTTTCTTTCATTTACATTCAAAATCAGCTTTGCAAAAAGCAAATGAGAACTTCTGAATTACACTGGAAACAGAGATGAATAGATTATAAGGGTCAATATTTGATGAAGACGTGAAAGCTTTTATTACAAACTGCAATCTAACTGAGCATGGTGGAGCATACCTTTAATCCAAGCTCTCAGGGGGCAGAGGCAGGTGGATCTTTGTGAACTCAAGGTCAGCCGGTCCTGTCCCCAGATGAGATCCTGTCCCCTAAAACAAAACAAAATAAAGCAATTAAACAACTCCCAAACCCTGAACCAAACCAAACCAAAACTCCACAAAGAAACAAGGAAAAAGAAAAGAAAGATAGAAAATTTAACTCTAAAGAAAGCATTTGTGATAGAAAGAAGTAACACTTGATTGTGGATAGTTGGTAAGAATGGTGACTGTGCTGTGACCTAGATGCCCCTCCTGTGTTGATGAACTACTTGTTGGGGATGAGTAGACTGCTGTTTGCCATCTCAAGCAATGCTGAAGGGAGATACACAGGCAGTGGCTCAGAAACAAGGGACCTCTGCTGGGAAGGTTGGCCCGGTATTACCAGTGTCTGGGAGCCTTGGGACAGTTGTGATAGTAGGAGGATGGTTGGGGAATCTGTGGCCTCTACCTACGAGTGTATGTGCGAGCTCCTGAGAAGGGCAAAACTTGGGGCAGGGTGTAGGGGTGGGAGTGGGGGTGGGGGATGGGAGAGGACCCTGGCAAGAGAATTCAAGAGTCGGAAGACAAAGGCTATGTCTGATCTGCCTCATCCTTTCTCCTCTACCTTCATAACTGAAGCCTTGACTGTCTCCCCCAGGGTTAACATTTCTCTGCTGGGAGTCAAAATTTCATAGTCCACAGTGGATGTCAAAAGACAACTGACTGTTACAATGTGTTCTATCAAAACTTAAACTCAGTTTTTCACTTTTCAAATGGTGTAGAGTAGGCCAGTGAACATACTGTAAGGGAACAAGAAAGGAAGGTAAATGTTGAAGGAAAGAGTAAGAAGAGAAATTGAAAACCAACAAAAGGCTGTGGGTTCGGAGGAGAGTGTACACCTTACACTTTCAGATGGGCTCTTCCCAGTAGGTCTTTCAGCATAGACAGTGGTGAGGGGATTGTCCAGGTGTGGTGGGAGATGAGTGGAGCCGAGGAAGAAGTCGCCTAGTTTACTCTCATGGCAGCGATTGTGTTTTAGGGGTAGAGCTCAGTGGTAGGAAGATGAAAGGAACGAGGCACAGGCCGCTGTCTTCATCTTCACCTCTTCCCGGTCTGTGTTAAATTACACTATATGGTTTCAAGACATGATTTCTTGGTATAAGACAGAAGATTTCCTAAGTCACACATGGTGAGGCAACTCGAGCCAGTGTTTTAGACGGAAGACCCGCAATGTGGCTGGGAGCATTTCAAGAAGAATGAATGAGTCTCATAGCCAAATACATTTGTTTCCCAGAGCTTGAATGGAGCCAGCAGGAGCAGCGTTAGCACAGGACACATGAATGGGGAAGGAGAAGATTGTGGGCCTCAGTGTTTCCACACACTTTCTCCCTAGTCAGCAGCTGTGGTCTGGTAACACCACAGACATACTGTGTAGTAGTTTGTGCCATGGATAATATCTATGCTTTATTCATAAAAAGAGGAAGCATGCGTGTATATTCCTTAAAACCCACTTCATTCCTTTGGGAATGATAGTGTCCTTTTGTTTGTTTGTTTGGTGTTTGGTTTTTCGAGACAGGGTTTCTTTGTGTAGCTTTTGGAGCCTAACCTGGCACTCGTTCTGGAGACCAGGCTGGCCTTGAACTCACAGAGATCCGCCTGTCTCTTCCTCCCGAGTGCTGGGATTAAAGGCATGAGCCACCAAAGCCCTGCCTTTTGTTTGTTTTTAAGATAGGATTTCACTGTGTAGCCCTGCCTGTTCTGGAATGCTCTATGCAGACCAAGCCATCTTCAAACTCAATGAGATCCTCCTGCCTCTGTCTCTTGAGTACTGAGATTAAAGGCATATACTACCATGCCTGATTTCATGTTTTAATGACACTTTGGAACTTCATGCGGTGTTACTAACACAGAAATCAATAATTATAAAATATTTTATTGTCTGTCCTCTTTGTGCTTTGAGAACCGCCCCCCCTGCCCCCCTCATATTTGGCAATTTACAGATCTAGCCTGCCACCTGGCCAGAGTGTCTCCCTCACTGCTGGTACGTTCACACTCCAGAAGAAAGCTCTTCTCACCACTTCCAGACTTCTTCTCTCATCGATGAAGGCTAAAAACCACTGATCTGTACTCTGGATTTATTTTTATTGTTTTTAGCCTCTTAACAATTTTATTTGCATATTAATATACTTATATATTATGTATAAATATACTTACATCTTTAAACACACAAAACAGAGGTTTCTTTCGGTCACTACTCTTAAATTTAAAATATTTTCAGCACTCACTCCTTCCCCAAATCCCTGGACCCAATATATATTACTCCCAATTTCCCTCTAATTTTAGCTCCCTAACTGTTCAGCCCCTCCCTGCCTACTACCCCCTGGCCTTAGGGAAACATTATCTGGACTTTCTGTCTACAGAGCCACCTATTTGAACATTTAATGTAGATGGAATCATATGACACATAACGTTTTGTGACCGTTGGCACATGCTTGCATAGTTCATCTGTAGTGTAGCATGCATGCCC